ATTTCATGCTCCCAACTTTGTGGGAGTAGTTTGGGGATGGCCCCTTCCTCTTCCAACATGACTGCTCACCAGTGTACAAAGCAAGGTCCATAAAGACATGGATGAGCGAGTTTGGGGTGGAGGAACTTGACTGGCCTGCACAGAGTTCTGACCTCAACCCAATAGAACACCTTTGGGATGAATTAGAGTGTAGACTGTAAGCCAGGCCTTCTCCGACATCAGTGCCTCACCTCACAAATGTGCTTCTGGAAGAATGGTCAATCTCCCATAGACACACTGCTAAACCTTGTGGACGGCCTTCCCAGAAGAGTTGAAGCTGTTATAGCTGCAAAGGGTGGGGCCAACTCAATATTGAACCCTACAGACTAAGACGCCATTAAAGTTTATGTGCGTGTAAAGGCAGGCGTCCCAATACTTTTGCCAATATACTGTATATGAGCTAGGGTGAACTAAGTCTAATGGTGGCCACACACACTTTGCATCCATTTTCCGATTGATCTTCTTCCAATAGGGATGATTGATCTATACTCGACAACCCAGTTGATTGATATGCCACACACTGGGAAGTGGTTTCGATCAGTAGTTAAAATTCTATCCTAATTTATGTCCGTAAGTTATCACTGACATTGCGGTTTCCACCATGTTGATTGATTAATTGATACAAAACTGTTAATATTATTCTGCCTGGCCTATTGATCAAATCTGATCTAAATTCAGTCTAAATTTATTGAAAGGAAAGTTATGGCTTTTCAATTATTTGTATATTCGATTGCTTTGATTGAATCATACATTGGTCAGATAAGGAAACTATAGCGTGTGTGGTCAGAGACAATTGGGGGCTCTGCAGCTTTTGCCAATCGTTATAAGCTCACCACACACGTTACAATTTTATTGTACAGTTTCCTTTTCTAGTGGCTGCACATGCTTCAACAAATGGTTGATCTCTATTTAGATCAATCACTTCTGATAGAAATATTTGATTTATAGTTATTCTATTCAATAATCACAGGGACGTGGATTTCTATTGATAGTAAAGATACAATTGTAACCAGGGGCGGACTGACCATTTGGAAACTAGGGCACTGCCCGAGGGCCCGGGGTCAGTAGGGGGCCCCATGAGATGCCCCTGGTACCTTTCTCATAGGCTTTTTTGAGTTTGGGCAAGGACACAGGGGCCCCATGATCCCCTATTGCCCGGGGGCCCCATGAGTTGTCAGTCCACCCCTGTTTGTAACTTACATTTGTAAAGCTGCTTTCACACTGATTAGATTTTCTTCTGCATTAAAAAAAAAAATCAGAAGAAAAAGCATGACAAATCTTATGAAGATCTTCACACTATCCATTTGCAGTCCGCTGCGTTTTTAAGTCGTAAGCTGCATTTTTGGTATGTTTGGTGCGGTAAAAATAAATGCACCAAAAACTCTGCTTCCCATTAAAATGAATGAAAAACGCCTCAAAACACAAACGCACCTGTGGTTGCATTTTTGGTGCATTTTTTAAGTCTCATATACTTTTTTTACAGGTGCAAAAGGCACTGGAAATGCGGTAAAATGCAGATGCGTTTTTACATCTGAGCAATGTGAAAGTAGCCTGAGTTATTGATGGCATCTGTTTCCTCCGTGTAATCTTGTGTTCCTGATTGATTCAAAATGGTCGACTTAAGTTTGATTGGCTCCCATCTAATTTGAGTCCAAATCTGTCAGAAGGGTTATGATTTTGATTATATATGTTTTGATTGTATTGCACATTGAATGCATAATAAAATCAAAGCTGGTGTAGCCAGCATTAGAGACAATTGGGAGCTATGCAATCAAAGCTTGTGCAATTTGTTATACGCTTATCACACACATTACAATCTGATTGTACAATTTCCTTTTAGATTTACCAAAAACTTTGTAGTGCAAAGTCCTCCCTGACTGTATACAGATAATTGGATAAATTAGTTATGTCTTTGCCCTAGTTTAGGTAAATCTAAAGTTGATTTCTGACCTTTGTAGTCAGTTTGTAATGTGTATAGTGACTAGGGATGAGCACAGGCGTATTCAGATACCAGTCTTACCTGTCTGAGCTGTCTTTGCATCCCGCCAATCGTAAGTGGCGGAGGTATTCCCTGCCCTGTGGCCACATGTACACAAGGGGCATGTATACACATGGCTGTGGGCAGGAATGCCTGGGCTGATTATGATTGGTGGTTCACAGTGACAGCTAGCTGGTGGGATAGCTCAGGCGGGTTCAGACTAGTACCTAAGCTCATCCCTGACGGTGACCCTATGGATCATATTTACTTTGCTGATGGAAAGCAGTCCAGTGCACTGCCATTATGTATATAATGCTATTGTCTCACAGGGGGGCACTATAGCATGTCTGTGCGAGGGCTGGGTTTGCCCACAAGGGGGTGCAGAGGTGTTCTATGCAGGCAGTCCCATTCATTTCTATTAGGACATAGTCTCTGCTTTCAGTATGACAGCCGTGTGAGTGCAAAGTCCCAAACGCGTGGGATAGTGTGTCAGACTGGGAGCAGTCCCTGTGTCCGTGCTGCCACTATATCCCAACTGAAATGAATGGGACTGTCTGCATGGGGATGCATGGACCACCTATGCATGGACCACCCCCATGTGGGCAAACATGGAACACCTATGCATCCCCATGTGGGCCAACATGGAACCCATGCACCCATGCATCCCCGTGTGGGCAAACGTGGACCCATGCACCCATGCATCCCCGTGTGGGCAAACGTGGAACACCCATGCATCCCCGTGTGGGCAAACGTGGAACACCCATGCATCCCCGTGTGGGCAAACGTGGAACACCCATGCATCCCCGTGTGGGCAAACGTGGAACACCCATGCATCCCCGTGTGGGCAAACGTGGAACACCCATGCATCCCCGTGTGGGCAAACGTGGAACACCCATGCATCCCCCCGTGTGGGCAATCCCCGTGTGGGCAAACGTGGAAACACCCATGCAATGGAACACCCCATGCAATCCCCGTGTGTGGGCAAACGTGGCAAACACCCATGCATCCCCGTGTGGGCAAACGTGGAACACCCATGCATCCCCGTGTGGGCAAACATGGCCTTCACACGGGTGTCTGCTACAGTACAGCTATGTGAACGAGGCGTAACATGTATTCAGATTTTGTAGTTTCACATCTAGGTAAGGCTCACCATACAAGACACAATTTGATCATACAATCTGTTTTCAATCTATCATGTAATGAGATCCTACCTAAACAATACAAGCAGTCTTAAAGCGGAGTTCCACTCACACTGTAAAAAAAATAAAAGTCAGCAGCTACAAAACTGTAGGCTTTAAAAAAACAGCCACTCACCTGTCCCACGATCCTGCGGTGTCCTCCCCGCAGCCCCTTTCACCATCCATCTGGTGTTCTAGGTGCCAGCATCTTCAGTGTGGGCACACGGCTGTGACAGCTTGTCGCTTCACAACTGGGTGCCCACTGCACATGCGTGAGAAGCGCTGCACTTCCTGAATGGACCCACGATCCTGCGGTGTCCTCCCCGCAGCCCCTTTCACCATCCATCTGGTGTTCCAGGTGCCAGCATCTTCAGTGTGGGCACCCGGCTGTGACAGCTTGCGGCTTCACAACTGGGTGCCCACTGTGCATGCGCGAGTAGCGCTGCGCTTCCTGAATGGACCTGAAGATTTTCTGGGACCTGTCATGTGTCCCAGAAGACTACGGGGAGGGAGGGTAGAAGGACAACTTCCACTTCTGATCGCCTAGGTGATCTCAGCGGAAGTGGGAGCGGGGACCTGTCAATTTCAGGTACCCGCTCTCCCCACGCTCTTCTGTCTGGCAGTCCAATGGATGTGTCTGAGTTTGGCGGTTGTCAGGAGAACGGTACTTGCCTGACTGCATTGTCCCAAGTGTAATGTTTGATGGAGGGGGGGTTACGGTGTGGGGTTGTTTTTCAGGGGTTGGGATTGTCCCCTTAGTTCCAATGAAGGGAACCCTTAAGGCGTCAGCATACCAAGACATTTTGGACAATTTCATGCTCCCAACTTTGTGGGAACAATTTGGGGATGGCCCCTTCCTGTTCCAACATGACTGCGCACCAGTGCACAAAGCAAGGTCTATAAGGACATGGAGGAGCGAGTTTGGGGTGGGGGAACTTGACTGGCCTGTATAGAGTCCTGACCTCAACCTGATAGAACACCTTTGGGATGAATTAGAGAAGAGACTATGACCCAGGCCTTCTCGTCCGACATCAGTGTCTGACCTCACTAATGCGCTTCTGGAAGAATGGTCCAACCTCCCCATAGACACCCTCCTAAACCTTGTGGACAGCCTTCCCAGAAGGGTTGAAGCTGTTATAGCTGCAAGGGGGGGCCAACTCAATATTGAACCCTACAGACTAAGACTGGGATGCCAATGAAGTTCATGTGTGTGTAAAGACAGGCCGATCAATACTTCTGGCAATATAGTGTATGTGAACCCAGTCTAAAGCTGAACTTCACCTTAGGGCCCCTTTCACATGGGGCGGAGCTGTCCGTGGATCCACTTGCTCAGTGGGGGGATCTGTCCTCTGAGGAAGGATGACAGGTCTGTGTCCACTCTACTTATGCAGAGCAGACATGGGCAGCCCGCTGTCCTCTATGGGCGGTTGGATAGGAATGGACCACCTATCCATTTCCATGTGACTGCCATCTGATCCGACGGATGGAAGGGGGTGCCCGTCTGTCACTCTTTGGCAGATCGGATTGGATGCCAGCAGCTGCAAATGGACACGTGTTTACACCTGCTGTTCAATAGAGGTTCCAGTCGGGTTTGCCTGAAAAACAGGCAGGTGGACTTCATCCAAACATCTGTGTGGAAGAGACCTAAAGAGGGCAGTTCCCCATTTATGCCCCTCCTGTTCTGTAACTTTATTTTTGGGGGGACAGGTATCCGCTGCCACATTGCAGTCAGATGGCCTAGGCGATTCCACTGGAAGCTCTCCCCCACCTTCCCTGCCGGCAACCTTCCGGGACATGTCTTGGGTCACAGACAGGGGCGGACTGACAACTCATGGGGCCCCCAGGCAATAGGGGATCATGGGGCCCCTGTGTCCTTGCCCACACTCAAAAAAGCCTATAAAAAGGGGTACCAGGGGCATTTCATGGGCCCCCTACTGACCCCGGGCAGTGCCTGAGTGCTGGAATGGTCAGTCCACCCCTGGTCACAGAAGGCTGCGGGACCATTCACAAAACACAGCGTGGCTCACGCATGCGCAGTGGGATGTCGCAGAGCCACAGTTGGCTTCCCACGGTTAACATGCTGGTAACAGGAACACCAAGACCAGCAAAGAACCGGCACAGGTGAGGACATGGCTGGATCCCTGGAAAGGTAAGTGTCCTTATATTAAACGTAGCTGTATATACAGGATTTGTAGGGGCACAAGATCCTCTTTAATACAGTCACAGGTGCACTGCCTAAGTATTGGTTGATCTCACGGAGATCGTACAGTGTACGCAGCCAGTGAGGATCTGTGCGATGTCTCCGCCTTGTCCTGAGGTGTGAGGAGAGGGAGGAGTCGTGTGTATTAGAGGCTGGAGATGTATTAGGAGGCGTGGTGGGGGGCGGGGCCAGTGAGGATCTGTGCGATGTCTCCGCCTTGTCCTGAGGTGTGAGGAGAGGGAGGAGTCGTGTGTATTAGAGGCTGGAGATGTATTAGGAGGCGTGGTGGAGGGCGGGGCCAGTGATGTCAGGCGGAGGAGGGCTGACACCAGCCGTGTTCAGGGGAGATCTCCTCTCCGGGAAGGTTGATGAATGGTGAGAGGAGATCCATCGGCAGGAGGAGAGGTGGAGCTGTACTGCTGTGGACTGACAGAAGACAAGGAGGAGACTTGGCCGGGGAGTGGGACACACAGGGACTAGTAGGGATCTGCTTCCTGGATAGAAGAAAGCACCACCTGCCTTCCTTTGTCAGCCTGGAGGAGATCGGGGAGGAATGTGTGCGATCAGCCTGTAGAGGACGACTCGGCACTGGATGGTGCAGGTAAAGGGCTGAGCCCCGGGCACGGGGGGGGGCTTCTCCGATCCGAGCACCGATGTCCGATCTGATTGGCATTGCCAGTAATCGGTGTACAGAGCCGACACCTTGTACACCAGTCCGGGATCACTGAGGTCAGAGCAGGACCGGAGTCCCTGTGATCACCTATAGAGGAGCCCGGGCACCGTGTGTGCTGTGATCGCCCGGGCACCGTGTGTGCTGTGATCGCCCGGGCACCGTGTGTGCTGTGATCGCCCGGGCACGGTGTGTGCTGTGATCGCCCGGGCACCGTGTGTGCTGTGATCGCCCGGGCACCGTGTGTGCTGTGATCGCCCGGGCACCGTGTGTGCTGTGATCGCCCGGGCACCGTGTGTGCTGTGATCGCCCGGGCACCGTGTGTGCTGTGATCGCCCGGGCACCGTGTGTGCTGTGATCGCCCGGGCACGGTGTGTGCTGTGATCGCCCGGGCACGTGTGTGTTGTGATCGCCCGGGCACGGTGTGTGCTGTGATCGCCCGGGCACCGTGTGTGCTGTGATCGCCCGGGCACGGTGTGTGCTGTGATCGCCCGGGCACCGTGTGTGCTGTGATCGCCCGGGGACACAACTTTCCTCCAGTCTTGGCGTGTATGTGGAGGGCAGATTATCCCATCGGGAGATCAGATGACACCATCCTGAGTGACAGCAGAGTGCAGGCCTGTCAGGGATCCCTCCTAGGATCTCCTTGCCATACACTATACAATCTCCTTCAGATCTACCATCAACTATGTGGTACAAGGACCCGCATGATGTGATACAAAGTGAATGGAGTGTTTCGATGTGTAGAGGAGATTGTACAATGTACAGATTGTGTAGTGTATGGCCAGCTATAGGAGATGAGAAGCAATCATTACTAATCCAGGGATGACTTCAGCTTTCTTTCCATCCGATCATCAGATTTTATTGCCCCATGTTTATCTATGATTGCACAATTGGTGAATGTACTGAGCTCTTGCAGAACGTATTGTGATTGGTGGATTGTAGTGTGTGGAGAAGTTGTACCGTGATCCTGCATTGAAGTTGCATCATCTGCCATAGCCGGGCTTACACCAGACGCACTGAAATCGAGGTTTATACATCGTATGGACGAGACCCCCCCGTGGATCTCCCCGACCCTGCGTTACGAGGTACAACATGCTGCATTGTTCACACTGGAACCACATGAATGGAGTGCAGGAGTGCGGACACATCCATCCATTAACATGCCAGAAAATGCACCTCAAAGGCACTGCAAACGCCCACAAATGTAACTACGAATGAATGTAAACCCGCATGTGGAACAACCCTTGGGGCTCATTTACACCCACTGGAAAGTCTTTGAAAAGTGCCCCACAGTGGATCGCTGTTCAGGAGCAGTAGAGGTGCAGCTGACGGGCAATACTGCTGCCTCCTGAATTTTTTTTTTTTTTTTTATATCAGCCAAACGGTGTGTTGGAATGGTACCGCGCCACATCTTGGCTCACAGTCGCAGTGGCCTTACATGAATAGGTCACATGTGGTACTGCTACTGAACACAACGTATCATTATTGTCACTTATGTGTACAACCACATCCAGCTGCTGTGCTAGGTTAAGTAGGGCGGTGAGGGGTCAGTAAAACCATGGCTCAGCCACCTATTTCCCCCCCCCTTCCCCACTGTAAGTGTCAATGAGCCCCTGGAGCGGGGGTCTCCAAACTTTCTAAACAAGGGGCCAGTATAATGTCCTTCAGACTGTAGGGGGCCGGACTGAGGCCAGTGGGAGTAGACATTGTCCTGGTGTCAGTGGGAATAAACAATGGATCATCATTGCTGTCAGTGGTAGGAATACTGCCCCATCGTTGATGTCAAAGGGAGGACATATGCCCAATTGTTGGTGTCTTCGGGAGGAATGGTGCCCAATTGTTGGTGTCTTCGGGAGGAATTGTGCCCCATCCTTGGCGTCTTCGGGAGGAATTGTGCCCCATCCTTGATGTCTTTGGGAGGAATGGTGCCCCATCCTTGACGTCTCTTGGGAGCAATGGTGCCCCATCCTTGACGTCTTCGGGAGGAATGGTGCCCCATCCTTGACGTCTTCGGGAGGAATGGTGCCCCATCCTTGACGTCTTCGGGATCCTTGGATCTTCGGGATGGTGCCCCATCCTTGACGTCTTCGGGAGGAATGGTGCCCCATCCTTGGCGTCTTCGGGAGGAGTGGCGCCCCATCCTTGGCGTCTTCGGGAGGCGTGGGCCCCATCCTTGGCGTCTTCGGGGCGCGTGGCGCCCCATCCTTGGCGTCTTCGGGAGGCGTGGCGCCCCATCCTTGGCGTCTTCGGGAGGCGTGGCGCCCCATCCTTGGCGTCTTCGGGAGGCGTGGCGCCCCATCCTTGGCGTCTTCGGGAGGCGTGGCGCCCCATCCTTGGCGTCTTCGGGAGGCGTGGCGCCCCATCCTTGGCGCCTTCGGGAGGAGTGGCGCCCCATCCTTCTTCGGAGGAGTGGCGCCCCATCCTTGGCGCCTTCGAGAGGGAGTGGCGCCCCATCCTTGGCGCCTTCGGGAGGAGTGGCGTGGCGCCTTCGGGAGGAGTGGCGCCCCATCCTTGGCGCCTTCGGGAGGAGTGGCGCCCCATCCTTGGCGCCTTCGGGAGGAGTGGCGCCCCATCCTTGGCGCCTTCGGGAGGAGTGGCGCCCCATCCTTGGCGCCTTCGGGAGGAGTGGCGCCCCATCCTTGGCGCCTTCGGGAGGAGTGGCGCCCCATCCTTGGCGCCTTCGGGAGGAGTGGCGCCCCATCCTTGGCGCCTTGGGAGGAGTGGCGCCCCATCGTGGGTGTCATTGGGAGGAATTGTGCCTCTTCATTGGTGGCAGTGGGAGGACACATGCCCAATTGTTAGTGTCAGTGGATGGAATAGTGCCCCAAAGGCCTGATAAAAGCAAGCAAGGGGCCACATCTGGCACCCAGGCCACAGTTTGGAGGCCACTTCCGTGGAGTGAAGTAATGTGTTGTGTCTGACAGTTTACATTTAGTAGTGTGTGCTGGTAGGCGGAATGTATGGCTTCATGAAGTCCATATCCTCAGACCGCAGTCTTCCCACATAGATCTGCCTGTAATTGAGATCAGTAACTTGTCTCCATTTCCAAGTACAATCCTGCTCTCCTTCCCCAGAGTGGACTTAGCCCTTTAACTTGCTGCTGGTGGGCGGGTTTGGGTATGTTAACAGTGGAAGCTGCTGCCTCTGACTTGGCTTTCCTACACATTTTTTTTTTTTTTCAATGTTGTAACTAACATCAATATTTACCCTGAGCCTGAGGAGTTTTCACTGTGCAAAGTGTGGAGGGGGAAGGGAATGATCCTAGTTCAGGAATGTACTTCTGTATAAAATGTGTCTTTTGGTCTTTGGTGATACAATGTGTGTTTATAAACATCTGTTTTGTTTTCAGCAATTGGCTATCTATTATGAACAGGAATGTATCAACTCTTTCTAAAATACCTGTACACATTGTTTGGAAATGTGACAAATCACTCTTTATGTTATTACCGGGTAATCGTGAAAACTGTGTTGTGCAGTCGTGATGTAACTTATGAACTTTGGTCAGAGATCAGTAAGGCAGTACTCGCACCTATACAGTTTTATCACACTGATCCGCTGCAGTTTCCTCGCGGTTTTCCTGCGGGTTACCCACACTTTGCCATCGATTTCCATTAGATTGGGCGATTTTGGTTTGTTTTTTGAAAATGCACCAAAAATGCTGCATGCAGGACTTTTGGTGCGCTTTCAGAAAACGCACCAAAACCACCCAATCTAATGTTAGTCTACAGCAAAGCGTGGGTAACCTACACAAAATTTGTGGGTACGCTGCAGGAAAAGAGCAGATCAGGGTGAAAAAGGCCATTCTGTCAGATGCATTCCCCAAGGCCTGTTTCACGTGAGCATCATCCAGCACGTGAGCATCTGTTCAGCATTGGATCTGTAAACAAATCCACTGCTGATTCAGAGTAGAATGACACCGATGTCACATTAAAAAATAGTACCAAACTTGGGTAATAAACCTGTGAGCAGGCAGCTCTTTATTGCAGAAGAGACCTGCAATAATGAACACTTGCCTGCCTTCATGCATTCTTCTACTAAATTTACACGGAGCTGCACATGCACAGCTCAGCATGCATTGCTGGCACACTCTGGCTATGCCGGAATAACCGACTCACCTGCACATGCGCGAGATGACATCTTTCCCCCACCAGTTAATTAAGAAGTCAAAAACCTGGTGGCCGGGGAGAAGATGATGGGGGGCTGGTGAGGGGTGTAATTGCCCACATCACTGGAAGGTGGAGGTAAATATTTCTGGGGTTTAATTCTGCATTAAAGTGGTTATAAAAGGCTCAAGGTTTTTCCATGCATGAAGGTGAAAAAAAAAACTTCTATGTGCAGCAGCCCCCCCCCCCCCTAATATGTACCTGAGCCCCACTGCAATCTAGCACTGTGCATGAGAGTCTTGGCTCTCAAGGCACTCTCCCTCACTCACTGCGGGAGCCATGGGCTCCCATTGCTGTCATTCATAGCCAGTGAGCCATGAGAGAGGGGTCAGGGCTGAGGCATGGCTCTATGTGAATGCACACACAGAGAAGCAGCTCAGGAGCTAGCCTGCTTGGGTGGCCCCATAACAAGCTGCTTGCTCTGGGGGCACTTGGTGGGAGGGAGGGGCCCAGAGTGCCAGCAGGGGACCCAAGAAGAGGAGGATCGAGGCTGCTCTTTGCAAAACCATTACACAGAGCAGGTAAGTATGAAGTAATTGTGTGTGTGTGTGTGTGTTTTTTTTTTTTTTGTTTAGTTTTTTTTAACTTGCCTTTAACCACTTGCCCTCCTGAGAATTTACCCCCCCCCCCCTTCCTGACCAGGCTTCTTTTTGCTATACAGCGCTGCACTATTTCAACTGGTAATTGCGCGGTCATGCAATGCTGTACCCAAACGAAAATCTATGTCCTATTTTTCACACAAATAGAGCTTTCTTTGGTGGTATTTGATTACCTGTGCGCTTTTTATTTTTCACGCTGTGAACAAAAAAAACCAGAAAATTAACAAAACAATATTTTCTCATTTCTGTCACACAAAAAAATCCAAAAAAAGTAACGTTCGTCATAAATTTAGGCCAAAATGTATTCTGCTACATGTTTTTGGTTAAATAAATCCCAGTAAGTGTATATTGATTGCTTTGTGTGAATGTTATAGCGTCTACAAACTATGGTATAGATAATGGAATTTACACGGCTTTTACTTTGACTGACTATCGCATTTCTTGAGGTGCTAAAATACCAGGACAGTACAAACACCCCCAAATGACACCCTTTTCGGAAAGTAGACACCCTAAGCTATCATGTAAGCTATTATGTCATTTAAGTTGTCACTTAAATTATATATTTCTTGCACAAACCATGGGTATATGTGGAATTACACCCCAAAATACATTCTGCTACTTCTACCGGTATGGGGATACCACAAGTGTGAGACTTTTTGGGAGCCTAGCCACATACAGGAGCCTGAAATCCAGTAACCACTTTGAAAGCCGTGAAGGTTCGTAACTTCCTCATTTCACTTCCCCACTACCTATCACAGTTTTGGAGGCCCTGAAATGCCAGGATAGCACCAAACCCCCTCCCCCCCCCCAAATGACCCCTTTTTGGAAAGTGGACACCCCAAGGACTTTAAAAAGAGGCATGGTGAGTATTTTGCAGATCTAATTTTTTCTCACAAGGTTTTTAAATATAAAAAAAGAGAAAAAATGTTTTTGTTTTCTTTCTTCATTTTCCAAAAACTTGTGGCAACAAACGAGATCTGCAAAATACTCACCATGCTTCTTATCAAATTCCTTGGGGTGTCTACTTTCCAAAAAGGGGTCATTTGGGGGGTTTGGTGCAAACTTGGCATTTCAGGGCCTCAGAAACTGTGATCGGTAGTGAGGACGTGTCGTGAGGAAATAAAGCCCTTTAAAAGCCTGAAGGTGTTTATTGAATTTTGGGGTCCTGTACTTGGCTAGACTGCCAAAAAGTCTCTCACATGTGGTACCCCCATACTCGCGAGAAGTAGCAGATTGTATTTTGGGGAGTAATTTCACATATACCCATGGCATGCGTGAGCAATAAATCATTTAAGTGACAATTTTTGTGTGTAAAAAAAAAAAAAAAAAAAAAAAAAAAAAAAAAAAATATTGTGGTAAAAAAATAAATTTTTCTATTGACTCAACATGCCTCTCGGCAAATAGATTGGGGTGTCTACTGTCCAAAAAGTGGTCATTTTGGGGGGTGGGGGGTTTTATGCCCAGCATTAGAAGTTTATGCCACTTATCACACTGCTAGGAAATTCATTTGAACCCCAAAACATCATATATTTTTTTTTAAAACGGACACCTTAGTGAATAAAATGGTGGGAGCTGCAATTTTGTATGTCACATAGTACTTTTTTCAAACGCAAATTTAAAAAGAAAATACACTTGTCCAAAAATTTTGAAAAAAAGTGTTTTTTTTTTTAATAAAATTTTGCAAATAAATAAATATTTCATCATAAATCTTGGCCAAAATGTATTCCGTTATCTTTTTAGTAAAAAAAAAACAAAAAACAAATTAGTTTATAACCAAAAATTATAATTTTTAAACATTTTTTTATTTTATTTTATTTTTTTATATTATTATTATTATTTTTATTTGTATTTTTTTTTTACATACTGTCACCCTAGCAGTACAGTGTCACCATGGTGACACTGTACTACTTGTGGGGGGTGATGAAGATTTTTTTTTTTTTTTACACTGATTGCTTTTACACCCATATAGGATGTAAAAGCAATAATTTTCTCTTTCTCTCTGTCTGCATTCTTGCACTCATTGAGAAGTACTGAGTGAGCTATGATTGGTCACAGCTTGTCACATGGTACAAGGCTGTTGTGAATAGCTCTGTACCATGTGACCTCTGTGATCATTCACAGATTTCACACGTAGTAAGCAATGATGTCACAAGTGACATCTTGCTTACTACTTTGCATGTGACCACTGATTGGCCAATCAGTGATCACATGATCGGGACCTCGTACAGAGGTCCCGTCCGATCGGTGTTTCACTGTGTCCGGAGGACACAGCGGGTACCGGATCTCGGTGCTGCGTGCTCCCAGGGAGCGCGCACAAGCAGGGTGCGGGGAGGCCGTTTATAAATGGCCACCCGACCCTGCACTGTCACCGTCCGGCCGTTTATATATAACGGCCGGTCGGGAAGTGGTTAAAGAAATAGTGGCTGTTTAATTAGCAAAGTGAATGCTCACTCAGCTTAACCGTATTTACGTAACTAAGTCTTCACTTTGAATATACAATCATCTGCAAAGGGAAAAAAACTGGATTTTTGCTTGTAAATGATTAAAATGAACACACCTTCACCTCATTCACTTTGCAAAGTCAGCATGCTCTATTATTAGTAAATCAATGCCATTGCATCTTTTTGTATCATGACAAAAGGTGTGTACCAAGAGGTGTTTGAAGACCAAAAATGCCCCTTATTCCAAACATACAGCGCATCCAGAAAGTATTCGCAGCGCTTAACTTTTGCCACATTTTGCTATGTTACAGCCTTATTCAAAAATTGATTAAATTCATTTTTTTTTCCTCAACATTCTACAAACCGTGCTCCATAATGACAACGTGAAAGAAATTCGTTTTGAAATCTTTGCAATTTATTCAAAATAAAAAAAAAAAAATGTACATACAGTGGATATAAAAGTTCTACACACCCCTGTTAAAAAGTCAGGTTTTTGTGATGTAAAACAATGAGACAAAGATAAATCATTTCAGAACTTTTTCCACCTTTTAATGTAACCTATAAACTGTACAACTCAATTGAAAAACAAACTGAAATCTTTTAGGTGGAGAGAAGTAAAAATAAAAAAACTAAAATAATATGGTTGCATAAGTGTGCACACCCTTAAACTAATACTTTGTTGAAGCACCTTTTGATTTTATTACAGCGCTCAGTCAATTTGGGTATGAGTCTATCAGTATGACACATCTTGACTTGGCAATATTTGCCCACTCTTCCTGGCAAAAACATTCCAAATCTGTCAGATTGCGAGGGCATCTCCTGTGCACAGCCTTCAGATCACCCCACAGATGTTTGACCGGATTCAGGTCTGGGCTCTGGCTGGGCCATTCCAAAACTTTCATCTTCTTCTGGTGAAGCCATTCCTTTGCTGATTTGGTTGTATGCTTTGGGTCGTTGTCATGCTGAAAGATGAAGTTCCTCTTCATGGTCAGCTTTCTAGCAGAACCCTGAAGGTCTTGTGCCAATATTGACTGGTATTTGGAACTGTTCATAATTCCCTCCACCTTGACTAAGGCTCCAGTTCCAGCTGAAGAAAAACAGCCCCAAAGCATGATGCTGCCACCACCATGCTTCACTGTGGGTATGGTGTTCTTTTAGTGATGTGCATTGTTGTTTTTGCGCCAAACATATCTTTTGGAATTATGGCCAAAAAGTTCAACCTTGGTTTCATCAGACCATAACACATTTTCCCACATGCTTTTGGGAGCCTTCAGATGTGTGTTTGCTAAATTTAGCCGGGCTTGGATGTTTTTCTTCTTAAGAAAAGGCTTCCATCTTGCCACTCTACCCCTTAGCCCCGACATATAAAGAATATGGGAGATTGTTGTCACATGTACCACACAGCCAGTACTTGCCAGATATTCCTGCAGCTCCTTTAATGTTGTTGCTGTAGGCCTCTTGGCAGCCTCCCAGACCAGTTTTCTTCTCGTCTTTTCATCAATTTTGGGGGGGACGTCCAGTTCTTGGTAATGTCACTGTTGCGCCATATTTTCTCCACTTTAGGACTGTCTTCACTGTGTTCCATGGTATAGCTAATGCCTTGGAAATTCTTTTGTACCCTTCCCCTGACTGATACCTTTAACAGTGAGATCCTTCTGATGCTTTGGAAGCTCTCTGAGGACCATGGCTTTTGCTGTAGGATGAGACTAAGAAAATGTCAGGAAAGACCTACTAGGACAGCTGAACTTTTATTTGGAGTTAATCAGAGGCACTTTTAATGATGGCAGGTGTGTACTGACGCCTATTTAACATGATTTTGAATGTGATTGCTTAATTCTGAACACAGCTACATCCCCAGTTATAAGTGGGTGTGCACATACTTATGCAACCACATTATTTTAGTTTTTTATGTTTACCCCCCCCCCCCCCAAAGAAAAAAAAAAAGATTTCAGTTTGTTTTTCAATTGAGTTGCACAGTTTAGAGATTACATTAAAGGTGGAAAAAGTTCTTAAATGATTTATCTTTGTCTCATTTTTTCACATCACGGAAACCTGACATGTGTAGATTTTTTTTATATCCACTGTAAGTATTCACAGCCTTTCAATACTTTGTTGAAGCACCAATTACAGCATTAAGTCTTTTTGAGTATGATGCTACAAGCTTGGCACAACTATTTTGGGCAATTTCTCCCATTCTTCTTTGCAGTACCTCTCAAGCTCCATCAGGTTGGATGGGGAGCGTCGGTGCATAGCCATTCTCAGATCTCTCCAGAGCTGTTCAATCGGGTTCAATTCTGGGCTCTGGCTGGGCCACTCCAGGACATTCAGAGTTGACCCATAGCCACTCCTTTGTAATGTGGGCTATGTACTTAGGGTTGTTGTCCTGTTGAAAGATGAACCATCACCCCAGTGTAAGCTCCAGAGCGCTCTGGAACAGGTTTTCATCAAAGGATGTCTCTGTACATTGCTGCATTCATCTTTCCTTCGATCCTGAATAGTCTCCTAGTTCCTGCCGCTAAAAAACATCCCCACAGCATGATGCTGCCACCACCATGCTTCACTGTAGGGATGGTATTAGCGAGGTGGTGAATGGTGCCTGGTTTCCTCCAGACATGACGCTTGGCATTCAGGCCAAAGAGTTCAATCTTTGTTTCATCAGGCCAGAGAGTCTTGTTTCTCATGGTCTGAGAGTTCCTCAGATGTCTTTTTGGCAAACTCCAGGAGGGCTGCCATTTGCCTTTTACTGAGGAGTGGCTTCCGTCTGGCCACTCTACCATACAGGCCTGATTGGTGGAGTGCTGCAGAGATGGTTGTTCTTCTAGAAGGTTCTCTTCTCTCCACAGAGGAACACTGGAGCTCTTTCAGAGTGACCATCAGGTGCTTGGTTACCTCCCTGGCTAAGGCCCTACTCCCTCGATCGCTCATTTTGGCCGGGCTGTCCGCTCTAGGAAGATTCCTGGTGGTTCCAAACTTCCTCCATTTACGGATGATGGAGGCCACTGTGCTCATTGGGACCTTCAATGCTTCAGAAAATTTTCTGTACCCCTCCGCAGATCTGTGCCTTGATACAATCCTGTCTCGGAGGTCTACGGACAATTCCTTCGACTTCATGGCTTGGTTTGTGCTCTGACATGCACTGATAGCTGTGGGACCTTTTTATATACACAGGTTTATGCTTTTCCTAATCATGTCCAATCAACTGAATTTCCCACAGGTGGACTCCAATCAAGTTGTGGAAACATCTGACGGATGATCAGTGGGAACAGGATGCACCGTAGCTCAATTTTAAGTGTCATGGCAAAGGCTGTGAATACTTCTGTACATGTGTGTTTTTTTTTTTTTTTTTTCGTTTTTTTATTTTTAATTAATTGCAAAGATTTCATAACAAACGTCTTTCACGTCATTATGGGGTATTGTTTGTAGAATGTTGAGGAAAAAAATTAATTGAATTCATTTTGGAATAAGGCTGTAACATAACAAAATGTGGCAAAAGTTAAGCGCTGTGAATACTTTCTAGATGCACTGTATGTATACCCTTTTACAATATTTAACCACTTGCCGCCCTGCCACTGTACATATACGGCGGCAGGGCGGCACTGGCAGGCAAAACCACGTTTTAAAACGTGTGTTTTGCAAACAGCTAGGGGGCGCGCGCAAGGCGCGCCGCCGCCCTATCTGTGCTGCTGATCACCGCCGCAGATGTGAGTCGCTGGGTCACAGCCGGTCCTTAGCGGCTATCTCCCGGCGATTGGCGGCAAACAGTGACAGACAGCACAGCTGCAGTAGCTGTGCTGTCTGTCACTTCCCTGTCAGCTCGAGGATGAGCTGATCGAGAAAGAACAGTTTCTCTTTCTCGATCAGCCTTGTCCCGCCCAGTACACACCCGCCCCCTAATAAAACACTCCCCTCACTCCTATAACCCTTCCCTGCAAAATAAAGTTAACCCCTTCCTCCCCATTGCCATTAGTACAGTGTCAGTGTTTTTCTTTTTGCACTGATCACTGTATTAGTGTTTTTGGGGATGTCAGTGACCCCAAGTCAGTACCCCCCAATGTCAAAATGTCCGCCGCAGTCCCGTTATAAGTCGCTGGTCGCTGCCATAAGCCCTGATCGCCGCCATAATTCGCTGATCGCAGCCATTATTAGTATAAAAAAAAACCCCTAAAAATCTCAGTATCTTTCCCGCCATTTGTAAACGCTATAACTTTCACGTAAACCAATTACTTTACATGTATTGGTTTTTTTTTTTTTTTTTTTTTTTTTACCAAAGACATGTCGCAGAATGCATTTTGGCAGAAATTTATGACTAAATTTGATTTTTGCATTTTTTTTTACTGGACATGTTTTATAGCAAAAAGTCCAAAATATTGTTTTTTTT